CTGAATTGTCTCCCGTTTGGTTCCTGAGCACCGGACCTGAAATTGGTACCTGAAACGACCCTAGGTGCGTCAGAACCGTACAACACTCGAGGTTGGACAGGTGGCGGGGGGAAGCTGTCGCCAACAACCCATTCACTTCCGTTGAATGCTCCATTGCCGTGTTCTGCTTCTCTTTCCTTGATTTTGGGGGCTTCCTTCGCCTGGTGGCAAGCGACGTCGTCTTGCACGATACCTTCCGAGCGCTTGTACTAAGTTTGTACATCCTGGAAGTTGTAGAGTTGTACTCTGAGGCTCTCTGCTTCGGAGGGGGGCGGGGGTAGAGAGCTAGGGAGCGTCCGTCGCCCGTCCACCGGCTTCTTGCAGTAAATGCTCCACGCCTTTCCTCTTCTTGGCTTCCGGCTGGACCAGCTTCCCCACTGTAGACAGGCTCGCTCTTCGTTCTTTCTGTCTTGATTTCTTGCTTGAGGGGCTTAGGGCTCCCGTAGGGCGGGCCCAGCGCAAAACAACTATGGCACTGGTGCACAGACAGGCTCTCTCTTGCTCTCCTTCCTACCTTCCTTCTTTCCAGCGAGTGCGAGTTAGGGGGTCACTCTCTCTCACCTTCTTCTTCTTCCCATTCTTCTTCTGCAGCTCTCTTCCTTCTGCATTTCTCTTCCTTCTGCCTCTCGCTCTCTGTCTCTCTGACTCTCTGTCTCTCTCTTCTTCTTCTTCTCTCTCTCTCTCTCTCTCTCTCTCTCTCTCTCTCCCTCTGTCTCTCGAGTTCGTGTTGCCTTCCTCTCGAGAGAGCATGTGGCATGGTTCTGGGCGCCCTTCTGTGCTTGAGGGTTTCTGAGTGGCGGCTTCCGAGGCCCCGGCGCACAGCTCGACCTGTTTGGTCCTGCGCGCTGCGCGGTCGCCCGGAGTGGCCGTCAAGGTGCCATCCTCACAAGCTCTCAGAAAACTCTCAGAAAAGAGAAAAGCTGACAAAACCAACAGAGTGTTCTTCTTGCGCGAAGAGGGAGCTTCGCCCGGCATGCTGAGCCGTCGCCGCCACCGCACTACGAGAACCCCCAAGACCAGGGGCCGGGCGAAGTCAAAGAAGACCACGGCGATGCCGCGTGGAGGCGCCTTAAAGTCCTCCCGTGCCTGGGCTCCGCGGTGCCAATGGGGGGGGGGGGGGGGGGGGGGCGGGGGGGCAAATTGGGCCTTGAGAAGAGAGAGAGAGAGAGAGGGCGAATTCAACAGAGAACTTTATTGAGCAGAACTTAGAATAGCCAAAGCCCTTGGAGACAGTTCCATCCAAGCTGCCGGGGAAGGCGTTTCTGGACACTCCGGACAGGGAATGGAATGCTCCTCGGCAGAGCAAAAGGGCCAAAAGGGAGAAAGAGAGAGGGAGAGAGAGGGAGAGAGTTGCCCTCTGAGCCATCTCTTCTTTTGAGGCGGCGGCGGACATGGACCGCAGGGACATCAGCGAGTTCGAGAGCGCCAGGGCGCGGGGCCTCGGGGCAGATCGGAGCAGCTCTGACTTCTGTGAATCTCAAGGCGCTTCTCACTCGGTTTCCTGCCTTCTTCTCTGGCTGCTTGACTCTTATCTTGGCTCTCAATCCCCTTTTTGACCCTTGGGTGGGCACTTCCGGCTGACGTGCGAAGGCTGCGACGGCGTGGGAGGGCCTCGGTGGTCTTTTACTCTTGTCCCGTGAATAGGATGAATTTCGTTCACATTAATAATATTATTCACGCTTCACGAAGTTCATTGCAATAATATTATTACTGTTCTCTTCATATTAATAGTATTCGGGCGTCCAACTATAATTCTTGTATTCACGCCCGTGTTTCGTTCTCACACTATAATATTAATTCGCGCATGCATTACATTTCTTTGCAATTAATATTATTGTGTGCTCTCTTCACGGTATTATCATTAGGGAGTACACGGGCCTCATTATAATATACTTAATGGCCCGTGTAAATACTAATAAAGGAGAAAGAACGTAATGAGTGCGGCCAATTTATTATTTATTATTGTGGCCGCCAGAATAATACTATTGTAATATACGCGCCTGTAAAGATATTAGTAAGCGCGTACACTACCCTCGGCTCCGGTCGACACACTGAACCGAGGGTCTCTCTCTCTCTCTCTCTCTCAAAAACAAAGGGGGGAACACACACGCACACACATACACACGGAGAGAGTTTGTGCTCTCGGAAGACAGAACTTCACCCTACAGAGACTTGGCAGAATCGGGGCGGCTCTGCTTGGCCCGAGGCAAGCGAGGGAGTCCTCTGACCGCAAGGACCTCCGGCCATGACCTTCACACCGTGAGCAATGAGGGCAAAACCGCCCGCTGAGACAAGCGTCCCATAGCGTCCCCATCTTCAACCCATTTTCGGTCCGGCTGTCCTCGTGGAGTGGTATTGCTGCAGCTGCTGCCCCACGGGAGGCCTTGGAAAGAGAAGGGGGCTCAGGGCGCCTTAAGTGTGACGGTGCTGCGTAGAATATACAAACGTTGCCCAGACCGACACTGAGATGATGCCTGATCACTGATCCTGAGCTGGTCGCCCGCCGATGGCTCCTGCAACTTGCCATTGTTTCGTTGTACTTCGTGTGCCTTCTGCTGGCTTCCCGTGGCCCCCTGTAGCCGAGGCAGCCGAGCACGCTGCCAAGCGTGCCGAGAGAAAAGAATGCTATGCAGAGCATGCGAACTGCGCTCGTCCTGGTCAGGGGACTCCGTGCGGTCGAGCACTGCGATGGGCCTGCGAGCAAGGTGAGCAAGGTGAGCAAGGTGTGCTTCGTGGCCGCAGTTTCCTGCAAAGTTTTCAGCGCGTGGGCCATTACGTGGCCATTACGTGGCCGTTAAGAGTGCCCAGAGGAGTGTGCCCCTGCCGCCGCGCCTGGCGCGGGGCCGCCGCCGAGGAGTGCCGGGCGCGATGACCTCAAAGCTCAGAAAAAGACCGAGCCTAAAGAGAGCCCCCAGGTGATCATGCCGACAAGGGGAGCTCCTATAGCTCCCATCTGAGCCCTTCGTTCGCTGTGCTCCCAGCCTCTGTGATACTGCTCCGAGGAGGAAGGGCTCTGACGGAACCTGCACAACGAAGTCACCAAGACGTGGAAGCTGTCTCGTCAATTCGTAGCTCCGATCGAAGCTTCAGAGTGTCGCTATCATAGTTTCTGGCGGTGGTCCGAGATCACCAGGAACAGCTGCAGTGTTAGCGTTAAAGTCCGGTCCGCCAGCCGTACCAGCGGTGCAATGACGTGCAATGCCGGGCAATGCCGCTGGAGCCAGAATCCGGTAGAGGTGGGCGGCAGATGGTACTGGTAGCAGTGCAGAAGGGGTCGCAGAGTCGAAGAGAAGAATAACTCATATCTTAGAGCGTAGCAGCACGTCTTGTCCACGTGTATCCACGTGTCGTAGATTTGTGCCGAAGAGAGACACAGCGAAATTGAGGTCATCGTGGTCATCGTGGCGTCACTCCAGCTAAGACAGCAAGATGAAGACGACAGAGAGAGAAAGAGATAGAGAGAGAGAGAGGAGCGAAAGAGAAGCGAAATGCAGCCTTTCGTGCTCTCAGAAGTTCTGAAAGCCGCAAGAGCAGCATGTCACTCTAACGATTCATTCGCTTTGCTGCAGTGGCAGCAAAAAATGATGGGCGGGGGGGCTTCAGTCCACAACAGCTTCCTGGCCTTCTCCTCCACACACACATTCCATGCCAACCCAACCAACCCAACCACCCGACCAACCACACACACACACACACACACACACACACACAGACACACAGTCACAGACACAGACACCCAGAGACATCGAGAGACACACAGAGACACACAGAGACACACAGAGACACACAGAGACACACAGAGACACACAGAGACACACAGAGACACACAGAGACACACAGAGACACACAGAGACACACAGAGACACACAGAGACACACAGAGACACACAGAGGCACACACACAGACACACACACACACACACACAGAGACACAGAGACACAGAGAGACACACACACACACAGAGACACACACACACACACACACACACACAGAGACACAGAGACACAGAGAGACACACACACACACACACACACACACACACACACACCCGCACGCGCATGAAAACAAAGTGAGCGAAAGGAGGGCAGGCTCCCCCTGTGCAATCCTGAAAGGCGACATCCGCACACCATGAGAAGCAATTACATCCCCTCTCTCACCAGATATGCCTGTGCAAGGCGCCACCGGCGAACTGACGGTGGAGCCACAATCCTCCAGCCCGGCGGATGGGCCTCGCAGGGAGCAGGGAGGGCAAAAAAGAGCAGCTCAAGAGCAAGAAAAAAGACCACTTCAGAGAGTGGACATGGGCACAAAATATCAAAAACCCCGGCTCTCGGCATTTTTGACGGCCCAAGTTTTGCAAACAAGGTCTGCGGTTTTCCAGCTTGCGTCCTAACACGCCCAGCCTGCCACTCCCAAATTCGGCACGGAGGTGCAGTGATCCATCCGCGCTGTGCTCCTAAGCCGCGGGTCTCAGTCTTCCTGGCAGGGCGACATCGGCGCCACTTACTGGAGCGTCGGAAGAATTCAGAGAGCAGCCAGGACAGATGGGCAGAAGTGCGTGAGAGGAACGAGAAACTCCCGAGCCTGCACCCGCCCAGCCATGGTCTCGGAGCGTCGCGAAGGGAATTCAACACCCCGCGCCCGGCCCCCAACTCAATGAAAGACGATGGTACTGTCAGTTGCGCATGTGTGTTTTGCGACCATCTAGACTTCGTCACCTTAGTTCGAAGGGCCTTCTCTAAGTGACTCTTGTCGCCTTCAATTGGCTCAGTGAGACTGGAATCTGGAGCCAAGAGGCCCAAGGGCCAGAAAAGACAGGCAAGCGGAGGCTCAGCACACGAAACTCAAATGCTCTCGAAGCCTCGAACTCGGAAGACCACAGAGAACTGGCGCCCCAAAAACCAAAGCTTCAAAGGGGGCATGGGGGGCGCATGGGGGGGGGGGGGGCGCGGGGAGGGCGCCTGTTGCCTGGAGACCGGCAATGGCACGAAGGCCTTGCCTGCGGTCACCGGCCTGCGGAGGGGTTCAACTGGAGAAGAAAGGCAACATGCAGCAACATGAAGCAACATGAAAGACGGGTGGTATAGTGCAGCAGAATGCAGCACATCATCTTTACGGCTCAGCTTGCGTACCCGTTGTTTACTACTAGCTCGAGTGTTCAGTGTTCTGGTCTGGTAGTCAGTGCATCTCTGCGTCCTCTCCACACATTCTGCCTCGTCTTGGCAACTCCACCCTTGCCGTATGGAGCAGCAAACCTCGCTGAAAGGATAGATCTTCGAACACTCCCAGGCATGTCTTTTGGAATGTCTTTGGAACTGAAATGCTCAAGGCATTCGCACAGAGGGCTGAGGTATTTGAGGTTGCGCAGCTTTGGCAGGACCGTATCCTCACAAACAGCAAAACATTCTAGATGCACAAGGTCGCAGGAGCTTGCAAAGTGCAAAAGCTGCAGTCGCACCTCCTGGAACGACGGGATTGAGCGGAAGTGCTGGCGCAACATCCGGGCTCGGAATCATGTCGCCTGGCCATCAGGCGCCACATGCACGCAGCAGGCTACACGCAGCGGGGCTCCGGATGGCGGAAGCGCCCGGCCTTTGCTCCAGCCCTTCGCGCCACTGGCCCTGCAGCATGTCTCTTCGAAGTGACTGATTGCAGACCCTCCCAGTCCCAGTGATGTGTATCGCTTCCATACGGCTACATTTCACACACTGCACTTGACTGGAGATGAAAGAAGAGACAGGAGGAAAACCGGCCCCGACGTGGTGGGGCATGTGAGGCTGACAGCATTTCTGACGCTCACTGATTCTACGCGAGTGAGAGGCCGGGCGCATCAAGTCTGAAAGAGGCTTTCCTACTCTTGCGGACCAAAGCGGACTTCGCAGAAGCAGCTTTGGAGAGACCCTCGGGACCGAGCCAAGGCGGCGTCACAGCGGCGCTTTTGCCTGGCGAGGCTCCCGCATGTTTCCAGGCGCAGGCTCCAGATGCAAACTCCAGCAGGCAGGATCCAGGCGCGCGCTCGCACTCAAAAGCACGTCTGGGCTGGGCCTGGGCAGCCGCCAACGCCCCCAAGATCACCTGTACAAATACAGCCACAACAGCACAAGTTCAGAACTGTAACTTTGTCCACAGCTCCGGATTGCCGCTTCACCATGCTTCACCGCTTCACAAGCTCGCCTCCTTTGCCGCTCCAGCCCTTGCCGCCCGAAGCCCTGGTGAGCGACTCAAGCCACTCAGCTCGGTTCTCTGTGGGAAGAAGACACCGCGTCTTTTCGCCCAGCGGCCAGGGCGGCGGCACGACAGCGGCAGCCTTGCCTGAACAGGTCGCTGGCCACCGGTAAAAATTTGCTCGGCTCCTGAAAGTCTTCCTTGACATCCCGGGCAAATCTACTTATTGTTCCTCAAAAATACAAAACAAACGGAATGTCTGTAAAATGTTGTACCTTTAACCCAATTCGTCTTGGGGCCCCCTCTCGCTCAGCTGCGCTCTGTGCTGGATGATTTCTGCCGCCCCCCAAGCGCCTACGACCATCGCCGGGCCCTTGGGCCCTGCGGGGGCACCTCGGGAGGAGGGGCCCACGAGCGTAAGAGCCGAAGGAGAAGTGTCTGCCCGTTCGCACACACACACACAGAAAAAAAAAAAGAAAGGAAAACAGTCGACAAGTCTTTTTCGCGAGGACGTTCTCTTGGACCACCCCCGAGGCCGCGGCCGTGGATGTCGCTGGCGCGGAACATCTCCTACGCCGGTCCCGGGGACCTTGCGGGGCCTCGGTCTCTCAGATCACTTGATGCAACATGCGGGCAAAGATGAACAAAAATGAAAACAAAGCGAAAAGGCGCGAGAAATCTCATAAAGTCGGCCCAAGCCGCGCCGCGGCGCAGCCGGCGCAGCGCCGCCTTCTCCCATTCGGGGACCCTTTCTCTGAGTCTCTGAGAGGCCCACAAAATGTTTGAGCCAAACAGACATTTCAGCAGAGGAATCCAGAGAGAGTGAGAAACGAACACGAACACGAACACGAACACGAACACAAACACGAGCGAGGTGATCTTCCGATGATCTTGCGACGATCTGGGTCAATTCGCGCCTATCCCGGCAAAAGCAGGAAAGTGGACAAGCGATTAGGACGTCGTCCTTGCGTGTTGCATGGGTAGCCAACAAACACAGGGGCGTAACCGCGGCTAGTGGGGCCGCGTTTGCTTGCTCACCTTCGGCTTCTTCCACGGTTGGCTTGTCAGGCGAGTCTGCAAGCCCAAGCCAAACTGAACTCCAGCTCGGATTGTTTTTTGCCGCGAGGCCTCTCGGCGCTTCGATCCTCTCAGGCCACGAAGAGCGGCGAGCAGACCAGCGTGATCGTGGACAGCAGCCTGCAAGAGCACTGTATCACGCCGTGACACCGTGACATGTTGTGTTGCCTTGCTTCCTTGCACCCCTCTTTCGTACTCCATACTGGAAAACCCCAAAAATGCGAACCTCTTCAAGGTTACTTCCTTTAGCGTAACTGACGGCGCCAACGCGGCAACAAAACCCTGCTGAAGACTGTCCAAAGTAAAGCAAAAAACAGCAAGTTAAGAACCACGAAAGCATGGCGGGGGGGCTTGATGAGGACGTGCAGTGATGGCCCTGCGGTATCCTCAGAGGCCAAATCCAAACAGAGATGGTGGGCAAAGGCACGCTTCACCGCTGCGGCAATTTCCCGCCTTGCTGGGATCACCCACCGTGTCGCCTCAAAATGCCAGGCGGGGGGGGGGGGGGGCACGCTGGAACCTCAGGCTGAGTGAAATTCGGCGCCTGTAACGGCAGCTTTGTGGGCTGCGCTGCCCTTGCCGCCGTGCACTCCCTGCTCGATGTACCTGCCACAAGCACACGGCAGACGTTTGGTAAAGGACAAACCTCAAGTATCTCTTGCAACACAAGCTGGACAGGAAGTCTGTCTGTGGACCTGCTCTTGACCCCATTAAAATTTGCTTCGGATCCTCATGGACTTGTGGCGGATTTCATTCAAATCTGGACGCCTGCTCCGACGTGTTACGTGGCGCAAAATCTGCGAATCAACAAAATAGCTCTTCAACACACAGGAAAAACGGCTTCGGCAACAGAGGGGGCACTTCTTGGCGTTGTCCCAAGCGCCACCTACGCGCAGGGATGCGAGCTGGTCTACTGCCGTGATGCACCAGCACTGCATCGCGTCAAATCTGTGGCACTTGCAAGCGTCTCCCCCGCACTAAGCCACTTAGCCAAGTCGATCACAATCGTGCAAACCGTTTAGATCGTGCATTCAGAAAACCAATCTCTTCTTTCTCATCATGCAGGGGACAGCTGGGAGAAGCTGAAGACGAAACCCTGCTGGAGGAGCGCGGAGCTTTGTGGGACTCTGCTGCCCATGCGCCCCTGGGCCCATGGGCCCATGGTCAATGTGGAAGCTCTTCACCTTTGCATTTGGCTTTTCCTAACGCCGACACCTTCCTTCGGGTCAACAAAAAAGCAAATCAGACAGGGCCGATGTGGCTCCCTCCAACAGGGCGCGTCCTGTCTCTCACACACAGGCACACACCAGAACAAGAACCTGGCCGTCGCTCTGATGTTGCAATCTGAATATGTGCCCCCAGTCCCTCCCTGGAAAAAGAGCCCGCCTGCCGTGTTGAGGAAGATGGCGAAGAGGACCCCAGAGGACGTCGCGAACATCAGGAAACTGGCCTGAGCAAGTCTCGAAAGCGCCGTCCGCAGCGGCTCGAGGCTCGAGCGAAAACATACGGCCCGAAGCACACAACGTGCAATTACAACGTGCGGCAGGCTCGCAGGGGCGCTCAATTTGTTGAAAGAGCCTTTGCAATGCCTTGCGATGCCTTGCAATGCCTTGCAAGTGGCACAACATTGGTCGACATGCGTCGACGTGCGTCGACATGCGTCGACCCTGCGACGGTCACTCACTAGGGCCTACCGCTACTTGCGACGGCGGCAAAAAACCTCGCCTGGCTCCTGCTTCTGAGGGTGGCGCGGGAACAAGCCTACAGACAAAGTGCGCAGACACTGAAACCTGATGCTCGGGATCAGGTGTTTGACCTTGCCTTCTGTATCCCAGCCCGGCAGAAGAGATGAGGCGTGTGATTTCGAGATGTCTCGTCGACCATACCCTTCGAAGCTTCAGCAGCTGAAAGACCTCTTCGGCTGGAAATGATGCTCTGCTGGGTATGGAGTCTCTCGCACGCCTTGGCCCCTCCACTGAAGCACACCACGAAGACGCGGCGTCTGAGGCTCCAATCGCACGAAGGTTGAACTTAGTCTCAATGCTCATCGTAGCAGCTACGGCACTCACCGCCATAGTAGTCGCTGCCCCGATTCCCGCATCCACGGATGCATGCATCCCACTCTCCCGTGGCTGGTCTGGTGTAGTCCAGGTCATACAAGTCATCGTCCAGCTCGTATCCACTGTCATCTTGCTCTTCATCTTCCTCTTCTTCACTTTCAGGCTCCAATGGCTCCAATGGCTCCAATGGCTCCACATCGCACCGAGCCCCTTGAGTCTTTTCCCGCTTCTGAAGCACCGCGTAGATTTCAGAGCCATCCTGTAGTCCGACCTCTTCCAGAACACTGCCATCTGGAATCAGGCCACCTCCAACCTGAAGCAGCTTCTGCAGGTCTCCTTTCGCCTCCAGCTGCTTCTTCACTGCATCTTTCACTTGGGTGGTGGTCCACGTTTTGGGACAGGTCAGGTGCCACTGCTGCAAGATCTCCCCAGCAACATAGAGGATCCGAAGTGACAGATCCTGTTGCTGTGCCTCCTTTGGACCCGCCTTTGCCTTCGCGGCCGACTTCTCGCCCAACGTCGCCGCAGGGCGTTTCATGGGGTGGCGACAGGGGTTTAGTTGATGGTTGCACGTGAGTGTCCAGGTTTTCAGTTGGCTGTGGCAAGGCTAGGTGAAGATGGATTTCAAACCCGCTTACGCTGGCCTACAGTCATGTCCCCGATACATGACACGAACCTAACCTGTCGCGCTGAGAAGTTACGTGTTGGCTTGCTGAGCTACTGTTCATGATGTTCAAATTTGTGGAACTTCGTGAACCCTTGGGTTGAGATCTTTGGGCAGCAAAAGGGTCACAAAGCGCCTCCAAGTCAGGTGCCAAAGTCTATGTCAGAAAACCACAGCACCCATGTCAAACGATGTTGCGAAGGCTCTGCAACCTGCAGAGTGCTTACGAGGTATTTACAGGATACTCAATTGAACAACACACTCTGAAGGCACTGGGACCCACTGGGAAGCTGGCGATGGCTTTCGCGCCAATCAGCCGGTCGTTTCCTCAGCACATCTCACCTCTCGCAGACCTCTCAGCCGTACCATCCCGTGTCCACACGGCTCAGCTCAAAGATATGCGCAGGGCCGCTTGAGGCCACTCTGAAGAAGAAGCCTACCTGGCCACCATCGCAGAAGAAGCTCTCCATTTCTTACATTGCAGGAGAGAGGGAGGGGGCTCTTCTTCAAGGCCCTGACGCAGAGAGGCACAGTGGTTGCCACGATGCCTGACAGCTGCGGGTTTTCGAGCTTGCGGGATCTCCCTGCGAGTCCAAGTGAGTCTTCCAAGTGAGTCTGCGCAAGCGCTCTGCGCGCCGCGCCTGGCGCAACCATTTCTCGGAGCGCTGCTTTGGTGACGATGGAGACGCACCTGGAGTCGAGAGCTGCAGGTGTCTCTGTGTCATTCGGCCCTCTGCAGCGATTCTGCAGCCTAACCCTGAAGCATAATCTCATTCTTCCGCGTACATATGCAACACTCTCTCTCTCTCTCTCTCTGTCATCCTCCCTCTCTTGCTTGCTTGCTTGCTGGGCGTATGACCCCCCGAGGGGGGCTGCCCCGAGGGGCACGCACTACACAGTCATACACAGTCAGTCAGGGTGAGAATGGTGTCTGCGGGAGTGGCCTCCAGTATGAGCAATTTAGGGGGAAAGGGTTGGTGGTGATGAGTGGGTAAGTGGTGGCTTTCCGTTTCTCGTGAGTACATTGACTCAGACACCCTCTCTCTCTCCCTCTCTCTTCTATCCTTTCTTCCTAGCTCTCCCCTCTTTGCTCCCATCTTTGAGTGGGGCCGGGCCCCTGGCGAGGCATAGTCGGGCTTCTGCGAGCCGTCCATGATCCCGGGCCTCTCCCGGAACTGCGTCCGCCTTGGTTGTTGTTGCTTCTTTCTCTTCTCTTTTCTCGAACTGTCTTTCTTTCTCCTCGCGGAGGGCGCGGAGGGGAGGGGGCGGTGGGGCACTTCTTTACGCATACACAATCTTACACACACACACACATAGCACATGTAACATACAGCTTACACTAACACCAACCCTCACTCTCTCATTCAAGCAGAGAGAGCAGTCCCTCTTACTATCTCTCTCCAAAAAGGTCTCTCTCTCTCTCTCTCTCACAAACTCCTCCCTTTCTCTCCTTTTGCACTTGTGCTTCCTGCTGCGCTGGGGCTCCCGGGCACGTTGTTCACCACCTCCTGCGCCGCGGAGCCGACCTCTCGCTCCGACTCGGACTCTCAGGAGCCCCAGGAGCGAGAGAAAGCTCTGAGAAAGCTCTGAGAAAGAGAGAGAGGGAGGGAGAAAACAAGGCTCTTTTTAGAGAGAAAACAAAAAGGCTCTCTTCTCCCTTCTGACTCATCTCTCTCAGAGCTCCTGCGAGAGGACACCCCGAACTGTTGTTTGAGAAGAGAACATGGCTTAACCGGCACAGCAGCACACGGCATGTGGGCTCCCGGCCGCCGTCATGCACTGCCCGCTGAAGTAGAAGACCAGCGTGGCACCCGCGATGCCGCCGAGGAAGACCTGGCACCAGAAGGGGACGCCCCCAGAAGAGGCCACGAGGCGCCGCTCGCCAAAGATGTTCGGTTCGGTTCGGTTCTCTTCGGTTCTGTTCGGTTCTCTTCGGCTCCTCCTGCCTCGGGCACCGAAATGTCCACGGCTCCCTGGGCGGATCAGAAGAAGAACAACTGGCTGGCGATGGCCTCTACACGTCCCGCCCTCCTCCTTCCTCCTCTGCTCCCCTCTTCTTCAAAATCCCCCGTCAGTTCCCGTTTAGCATCCTCTTAGCAGCTGAGCGGCCACTTTTTGGCCAGCCAGCTCGGAAACCTCAGGGCAGAAAAGGTGCACAAAACAAAAGCGTGTGCCGACGGGGCTCCGTGTGCGCAAAACTCTCACTTCTCCGGCGATTAACCCGAAAAGCTAAACACCCCCGGCAAAACACACCTCGTCCAAGAAGGCCGAGAAGAGGAGGAAGCACCTCGGAAGAAAGCACACTCTTTTTTCCATCCCTGCTTCTCTCATTTCTCTCGTCTCCTTCTCTCCCTCTCCATCTCATTCGCTGTCACTTTGTGGCCTCCAGATTAGACTAGAAGTCCTGCGGACCATCTCTGCCGGGACCCCGCGCGCCAGGCTCGCCGAGCCCACGGAGAAGCCCTCTCGTGAGAGCGAAAACACCCAAAGCCCAAAGAGCGACAGACTCTCTCCGAGTTCTCTCTCTCTCTCTCCCTCTCTCTCTGTCTCTCTCCCCGCACGCTAAACCCTCCCAGGGGCGCGCGAGTCCCGTGTCCAGTCTGAAAGAAAGCTGGACCGCGATGTTCTCTCTCTCTCTCTCTCTTGCTCCCTCAAGCCAACTCTCCGCCTTGGTGATGGCTTTGGTCGTGTTGCCCACGGCATCCAAGCTGTCCGTGATGTTTCGCACCTGACTCCCCCGAAAGAGCCCCTAAGAAGAAGAGCAGGCCTCAAAACAAATGCTCTCTCGTCTTCCGCGGGGTGCTCTCCAAAAGCCGCAGAAGGGAGGCAGCAAGGCGCCCGGCGCTCTCCGGCTGCTCGCTCATCTCCACGATGCCACCGGCCTGCGCGAGAGAGAGGAAAAGTGGCTCGAACACTGCCGAAAAACACAAAAACTGCTAAAAACACCCTGCGGAGGGCCGAGAGACACTCTTTGACCGACTCTGTGCAGACGCGAGCGGCGTTGTCGGTGATGGGGCCGAAGACGTCCATTGCCAGCACAAAGACAACCTTTCTCACAGGATCTCGCCGCCGAAGCCGGGGCGCTCGTGGCACTCGTGGCACTCGTGCTCTTGGAAAGCTCAGGACGAGGCCGTCGACAGCATGCCTCAGGACGCGGCAACTCCGACAATTCTCCAACACCCTCGCCATTTTTTCGGAGAAAACAACCGAGAGAGACGAATAACACACAGAGGGGAGTCTCAGGCTCTGAGGAGGCCGCCCATGGTGGCCACGGCAGTGCCGAAGAGCCCGGCACTTGCAGATCCGCCGAAAGCCGCCATGCCCGTCTGAGAGACTCTCACTCCTCTCTCTTTCTGTGCATTTCTCTTCCTTTCTCTTCCTTTCTCTTCCTTTCTCTCCCTTTCTTCGCCTTGTAGGAGCAGAGCAGCGCTACGCAGATGATGCCGGCGGGCGCCGCCGTGGCCCGCATCCCCACCTCAAAGACTCAGAGGGGGAGAGGGACGGAGGAGGGAGAGCAGGAACAGGGAGGGATAAGGCGGAAAAGGAAGTCAAAGATGGGAGATGATCAAGGTTTTCTTTCATAGGAGCGCTCACGCACCTGATGCGTGAGCCCCCCGGACTCAATCTCGCTCTCCCATTACACAGCCAGGTGCTGCACAGTGCTCTCAAATATCCCCCCCCTGAAATGCAATCCTGCAACCCCACGCCGCCCTACGCCCTCCCTTTTCGACGTCTCGCTTCGTCCCCGGCGGACATGCCGGCGATGACATTCGTGCCGTGCCCGGTGACACTGGCCTGCTGCGCATATCGATGTCGCACTTTCGCCCATGACAAGCATGTCCTCTTGACAACGGCTCGGCGGCTAGACCGGCCTGTGCTATCTGCCTAACTGGCGGGAAGTTGAAATCCGTGTAGTACCTGCGCAGGACGAGTGAGGGCACGGAAAGAATGAGAGAATGAGTGATTGATTGATTGACTGCCTGTGGGCGCGAACGCCCTTGCGTCTGCAAGCATGAGAGAAGGGAGAAAGGAGAAGGGGGAAGAGCGAAGAGAGATCATGGTCGAGCACTGCGTCACAAGGATGAAGAGAAACGCCGTGCCCAGTCCAACCAGACCGCACACCTGAGCTGTGTTTAAGCTGTTGGTCTTCTTAGATCTGAAAGGTGATGGCTGGGCACAGGTTTGCCAAGGGCCGTGCTGAGAAATTCATCCAGGCAGTCGGGTGCTCCTCCGTGTACAGGAGAAGCCTGGGCACCGACGAACCGATGGTAGTACTCCGTAGTATGGATGGCGGACGGGAACTCTGAGATTGGCCTGCACAGTACGACGATGCCCACGGCTGCAAGGCCAACTGACACCTGGAAAGTCGGCTGAGGGTTTGTCTCGTTTCGTCAGCTCCAGCGCAGGGGGTTCGCCTTGTAGCCACTCTTCAAGACTTCCATGGGATCGATGCCCTTGATGCCCTTGCCCTTTGGGGCCTTTCCGATATGTGCTCTGAGAAAATGCAACGAGAAAAAATGTCAACTTCTTCTTCTCTGACTCGAGAGCTGTGTGTCGAGTTGCGTCGAGTTGTGCCGAGTTGTGTCGAAGAGGAGCGCCTCCGTCATCATGATGCCGATCCCGCTCACGATCAGGTCCTCTCTGGCTCTTGAGATGCCCACTCAGCGCTTTCCAAGTGCTCTACTCACACTTCTCTCTTCGGCCTGCTTTTTTGCTCCTCTTACTTCGTTCTCTCTGTCTCTCTCTCTCTCTCTCTGTCTCTCTCTGCACGCTTGGTCCCCCCCGGAGGAGAGCTGCCCCTAGGGGCGCGCAAGTCCCAGGAGTCATGCGTCCCTTGTTGGGGCTGCGGTTTTCGCAGCCCGCTTGCCGGATGGGGATTCCCTGTCTGAAAATGGGGTGAAGCATGCCCAGGTACACTAACGACGAGAAGTTATAACATGACAGTTCCCCCCCCCTGTGCTTCCGGCAATACCTTTTGGCCCTCTTTCGGGGCGGTGGTTTATCTTGTGGTTGCTCAGTCACTACTTGCCCCCTCATGCGTACGCCTTCTTCTCGTGTCCACGTCTGGTAGTGGGCGGCGTGGACGCAGCCCCCAACCACGTGTTTGCTTGTCTTCGTGTTCTTCCGAGGATGTGAACTCCTCCGTAGCCTCCCTTTCTTGTGGTGGGTGTGGTGGGTGAGTGGCTTGGAGTGCGGTGCGGAGAGGGTGCGGTGCGGGAGGGGGTGGATGCCACGGGATGGTGTCTGGTGTGTTGCCCCCCCCCCCCCCTTCCTCGCCTTGCCGTGTGTCCGTATTCCCCCGCGTAACTGTGAATCGAGCAGGGTGATTGGCTCTCCCTCTTGCATGCGAAGTTCTCTCTCTCTCTCTCTCTCTCTCTCTGTCTTAACTCTCCCTCACTTTTTTCAAACGCTGCTGCTTTTCCTTCGTCTCTTCTTCCTCCTCTTTCGCTTCTTCTTCTTCTTCTTCTTCTTCTTCTTCTTCTTCTTCTTCTTCTTCTTCTTCTTCTTCTTCTTCTTCTTCTGCAGGGCTTGGGGGCACCAGACGACCCTCGCGCGAGTGCGCGCGCAGTACAGTGAAACTGCCTCTCAGTGCATCCAGTGTGGTTGTTTCCCCGGCCCCCGGAGTCGATTTGTTCCGCGAGCACAGTGCAGCTCCTGGAGGTGAGACTCATTTTCCGGGTCTGCGTCCCGATTGTTTCCCGGAGCCTAAACGGGAACGTGCTGCTTGGGTGCACCACTTGCTGACCCTATGCCAACGTCTAGCTTTCCCGGAGGCGGTCAATCCCTGCTGCTTCTTAAAGTTCATCTCCCAGCTATTCCGCTTCGCGTTCAGCGTGCATTGTGGTTTGTGACACTTGCAAAATCCTTCCCACCCTGAATCGAACATCTTGAAGCCTTTTTCAACCTTCCCGAACCTCCCTTCCCCCACACCTACTTCTGGGCACTTTCCACTGCGGGGCACTCGTCGTTTCCCAACAAGAAAACCGTACTATCACTTCTTGGTACATGGCTTCCGCTCTGTGGTTTCCCCTCTTGCTAGCTTGCCCCTCAGTCGCGCTCGTCCTTGCTGTTCACTCTGTCTCTCTCCGGCTGCGCACCCTGTTGCTGTTCTTCTTGTTGTTCTTCTCCTGCGTGAGCTTCGACGTGGTCTGGAAGCTTCCCCCGTCTGCCCGATTCTGTTTGTTGATGGCGCCCTCCGCCATCGTGGCGGTTCTTTCCTTGAGTGTGGCTGTGCTGCAGGCTTCATCGGTTGCTTCCCTCTCCTCCGGCTGTTTTGGTTGGCTGTCCTCCACCATGACCACGTCGCTGACCCCACCATTGCGATATCCAGCTTACTCTTCTTTCTCTTTCTCGCACTCGCTCGCGCGCTCTCTCTTATTCTTTCTTTCTTTCTTTCTTTCTTTCTTTCTTTCTTTCTTTCTTTCTTTCTTTCTTTCTTTCTTTCTTTCTGGCATTGGGAGGACCCCCGGGCGAATGCGCGCCGCGTCAAGCTGTGCTGCCTCTCTCTCTCCCCCACGCATGACCCCCCCGAAGGGAGGACGCCCCCAGGGGCGCGTGCTGTCCGATGTCCAGTCTGTTGTCGCGACCGCGTTTTTCGCGAGTGCACTACCGCTCTCTCTCTCTCTCTTTCTTCTTCTTCTTCTTCTTCTTCTTCTTCTTCTTCTCCTGCTTCTTCTTCTTCTTCTCCTTCTCCTTCTTCTTCTTCCCAGCGAAGAACCCCGGCCACGACGGCCTGCTGTTTGGTTCCTTCCTTCCTTCCTTCCTTCCTTCCTTCCTTCCTTCCTTCCTTCCTTCCTTCCTTCCTCTGCAAAGAGCGTGACCTAGCGAGTCTGTCTGTGTTTGAAACAATGCTATGTGTCGAGTTTGGTGATCCACCCGCTGCTCGGTGTTCTCTCTCTCTATATCTTTCCTTATTCCTCTCTGTATCTTTCCTTCTTTCTGCACACTTGACCCCTCCGTATTGGGAGGGGCCGCCCGAACGCGTGCGTTACCGATTCTATTGGTTTGAGAAGCGGGAGTGACGATGCTCCAATCGTGGTTGTGGCTGCTGGGTGATCTCGACCTTGCCAGTGGTTATGCGGGTGCGTCATGCCACCCCTTTCCATGTGCCTTCGGACTTGCTCCTGCAGAGTCGGACACTGCTTCGTGATGTCGTTGTAGGCGGTGTCGTCGCTGTCTCTGTCTTCCTCTTTCTCTCTCCTCCTCTTCTTCTTCCTCTACCCAGCGTCGTAAAGGCCCCTCTCTCACTCTCTCTCCGAGTCCTTTCCTCCTCCCCCTCTTCTTCGTCTGCTGGACATGGAGGAGCCCTGGCGGACCCCTCCACGCGCGAGGGCGCCCGAGTGCTTTGTCCACGTGAAACTCTCCTCCTGGAGCATCCTGCGACTGCGGTCGGACTTCTTTCCCTGGGGATGTGATACGGCCCGTGCGATGTGCTGCTTTCTGTTGAACCAAGAAAGGCTGATGCCTCGATGAGGACCGCTACCCCTAAAAAACCCTCTCACCAAGTCATGTACAACCTTGAGATCTTCTTCTTCTTCTACTCAGCGAGAGCCCCCCCCTCAGCAGGCCCACTGCTCAGTCCGTCAGTGAGACAGTCAAGATCTCTCTCTCTCTCTCTCGCTCTCCTCCTTCCTTCCTCATGGTCCCCGAAGGAACCGCCCCTAGGGGCGTGCTCTGTCGAGTTAGTCTCTCGCTCTCTCATCTCTCTCTCCCGCCGTGCGCGTCCCCTTTGCAGCCGGAGTCTTGGGCCACAGCCATGGCATGGATTGCCAAAGGGAAGAGCACGTAGCCGCCTTTTGCTTCGCATGAATTCCGGGTGCTACAAGGTTCTTCAGGGGCCCTTCACTTTGAAACGCTCAGACCCCGGCTTCGTGCGTCGGGTGGCAGCTGCTGTGACAGGGTGCCGCCTGCTTCACACGTCACGTTCAACGTAGAGCCCTTACATGCGTGTCTACATGCTGGGAAGCGCTTGTAAGATTCCAGGTATATCGCGGAGTGCGGCGGTGCCTAAAATCATGGCAGCCAGAATCTCCCCGGCGATCGATTCAAACAAGTCCGCGCCGCCTCCGAGCGCAGCTTTTCGACCCAGCAGGGCGCTTTGAGGAAGGATGAGGAGAAAAAACACGTGCCGGGTAGACGCCCGGCACAGTCTCCCACGTTGTCTCCGACCAAATCAGCGATGACGGCCGGATTGCGCGGGTCATCCTTTTCTTGAGGGAGCAGTTGCGAGTTTTTTTTAGGCGAATAGAGTCAATGGCAGGCGGGAACACTCTCAACACGTGTCCTCCGGGATGTCTGCCTCCACCTTGCCCACCATGTCGGCGCCAACATCTGCAGCCTCTTACGAAAAGACAAGACCCAACAAAAATCACCCACGAGACTCCCCCAGCAGTTTTGAGGCATGCTTTAATGAGGCACTCCGTATTGAGGGGCTCCCCCCCCCTTGACTTGGCCTTTGTGTAGATCCCGCCGCCCAGCCTCAAGGCCGCTGAAAAGAGAAAAAGCGACGCAGCGCAGCGATGGGGGAGCACTCTGAGGGAGAACTCCTCTGAGGATCCCCGCTGGGCAAAGAGCGCAACCTCAGCCACCAGTGGCATAGAGTTCGGGTCGCACAGCATGCATTCTTCTGTAAACCGATGCACCTACAAAAGTTGCAAGGCTGTGTACATCGACGAATCTCAAAAAAACGCAAATCTATGCAAACCGATGCACCTCAAACGCAAGTCGACATGATATAACGGTAAGCCGACGCAGGTCAAGAAGCAAGTCGATGCATGGCAAAACGCCAAGATGCCCCTGGTGGGCCCAACTTGAAACCTGGATTCGGCCAAGATGCCCCTGTTGGGCCCAACTTGAAACCTGGATTCGGCCAAGATGCCCCTCTTGGGCCCAACTTGAAACCTGGATTCGGCCAAGATGCCCCTCTTGGGCCCAACTTGAAACCTGGATTCGGCCAAGATGCCCCTCTTGGGCCCAACTTGAAACCTGGATTCGGCCAAGATGCCCCTGTTGGGCCCAACTTGGGCCAAGATGCCCCTCTTGGGCCCAACTTGAAACCTGGATTCGGCCAAGATGCCCCTGTTGGGCCCAACTTGAAACCTGGATTCGGCCAAAATGCCCCTCTTGGGCCCAACTTGAAACCTGGATTCGGCCAAGATGCCCCTCTTGGGCCCAACTTGAAAGCTGGATTCGGCCAAGATGCCTTTCTTGGGCCCAACTTGAAACCTGGATTCGGCCAAGATGCCCCTGTTGGGCCCAACTTGAAACCTGGATTCGGCCAAGATGCCCCTGTTGGGCCCAACTTGAAACCTGGATTCGGCCAAGATGCCCCTGTTGGGCCCAACTTGAAACCTGGATTCGGCCAAGCTTCGGCCAAGATGCCCCTGTTGGGCCCAACTTGAAACCTGGATTCGGCCAAGATGCCCCTGTTGGGCCCAACTTGAAACCTGGATTCGGCCAAGATGCCCCTGTTGGGCCCAGCTTGAAACCTGGATTCGGCCAAGATGCCCCTGTTGGGCCCAACTTGAAACCTGGATTCGGCCAAGATGCCCCTGTTGGGCCCAACTTGAAACCTGGATTCGGCCAAGATGCCCCTGTTGGGCCCAACTTGAAGCCTGGATTCGGCCAAGATGCCCCTGTTGGGCCCAACTTGAATCCTGGATTCGGCCAAGATGCCCCTGTTGGGCCCAACTTGAAACCTGGATTCGGCCAAGATGCCCCTGTTGGGCCCAACTTGAAGCCAAGATGCCCCAACTTGAAACCTGGATTCGGCCAAGATGCCCCAACTTGAAACCTGGATTCGGCCAAGATGCCCCTGTTGGGCCCAACTTGAAATTCGGCCAAGATGCCCCTGTTGGGCCCAACTTGAAACCTGGATTCGGGCAAGATGCCCCTGTTGGGCCCAACTTGAAACCTGGATTCGGGCAAGATGCCCCTGTTGGGCCCAACTTGAAACCTGTGCCCCAACTTGAAACCTGGATTCGGCCAAGATGCCCCTGTTGGGCCCAACTTGAAACCTGGATTCGGCCAAGATGCCCCTGTTGGGCCCAGCCTGAAACCTGGATTCGGCCAAGACGCCCCTGTTGGGCCCAACTTGAAACCTGGATTCGGACAGCGGGCCCAACTTGAAGGCCAAGATGCCTCTTGGGCCCAACGTGAAACCTGGATTCGGCCAAGATGCCCCTGTTGGGCCCAACTTGAAACCTGGATTCGGCCAAGATGCCCCTGTTGGGCCCAACTTGAGACCTGGATTCGGCCAAGATGCCCCTGTTGGGCCCAACTTGAAACCTGGATTCGGCCAAGATGCCCCTCTTGGGCCCAACTTGAAACCTGGAGTCGGCCAAGATGCCCCTCTTGGGCCCAACTTGAAACCTGGATTCGGCCAAGATGCCCCTCTTGGGCCCAACTTGAAAGCTGGATTCGGCCAAGATGCCTTTCTTGGGCCCAACTTGAAACCTGGATTCGGCCAAGATGCCCCTGTTGGGCCCAACTTGAAACCTGGATTCGGCCAAGATGGCCCTTTTGGGCCCAACTTGAAACCTGGATTCGGCCAAGATGCCCCTGTTGGGCCCAACTTGAAACCTGGATTCGGCCAAGATGCCCCTGTTGGGCCCAACTTGAAACCTGGATTCGGCCAAGATGCCCCTCTTGGGCCCAACTTGAAACCTGGATTCAGGCAAGATGCCCCTCTTGGGCCCAACTTGAAACCTGGATTCGGCCAAGATGCCTCTCTTGGGCCCAACTTGAAAACTGGGTTCGGCCAAGATGCCCCTGTTGGGCCCAACTTGAAACCTGGATTCGGCCAAGATGCCCCTGTTGGGCCCAACTTGAAACCTGGATTCGGCCAAGATGCCTCTGTGGGGCCCAACTGGAAACCTGGATTCGGCCAAGCTTGAAACCTGGATTCGGCCAAGATGCCCCTGTTGGGCCCAACTTGAAACCCGGATTCGGCCAAGATGCCCCTGTTGGGCCCAACTTGAAACCTGGATTCCCTCTTGGGCCCAACTTGAAACCTGGATTCGGCCAAGATGCCCCTGTTGGGCCCAACTTGAAGCCAAGATGCCCCAAGATGCCCCTCTTGGGCCCACGGATTCGGCCAAGACGCCCCTCTTGGGCCCAACTTGAAACCCGGACTCGGCCAAGATGCCCCTCTTGGGCCCAACTTGAAACCTGGATTCGGCCAAGGTGCCCCTCTTTGGGCTTAAATTGAAACCTGGATTCGGCCAAGATGCCCCTCTTGGGACCAAATTGAAACCTGGATTCGGCCAAGATGCCCCTGTTGGGCCCAACTTGAAACCTGGATTGGGCCAAGATGGAACTGTTGACCCATGCCCCTCTTTGGGCCCAACTCGAAACCTGGATTGGGCCAAGATGCCCCTCTTTGGCAACCTGCATTCGGCCAAGATGCCCCTCTTGGGCCCGACTTGAAACCTGGATTCGGCCAAGATTCCCCTGGTGGGCCCAACTTGAAACCTGGATTCGGCCAAGATGCCCCTGTTGGGCCCAACTTGAAACCTGGATTCGGCCAAGATGCCCCTGTTGGGCCCAACTTGAAACCTGGACTCGGCCAAGATGCCCCTCTTGGGCCCAACTTGAAACCTGGATTCGGCCAATATCCCCTCTGGATTCGGCCAAGATGCCCCTCTTGGGCCCAACTCGAAACCTGGATTCCGCCAAGATGCCCTTTTTGGGCCCAACTTGAAACCTGGATTCGGCCAAGACGCCCCTCTTGGGCCCATCTTGAAACCTGGATTCGGCCAAGATGCCCCTCTTGGGCCCAACTTGAAACCCGGATTCGGCCAAGATGCTCCTCTTGGGCCCAACTTTGAAACCTGGATTCGGCCAAGATGCCCCTCTTGGGCCCAACTTGAAACCTGGATTCGGCCAAGATGCCCCTGTTGGGCCCAACTTGAAACCTGGATTCGGCCAAGATGCCCCTGTTGAGCCCAACTTGAAGGCCAAGATGCCCCTGTTGGGCCCAGCCTGAAACCTGGATTCGGCCAAGATGCCCCTGTTGGGCCCAACTTGAAACCTGGATTCGGACAGGATGCCCGGGCCCAACTTGAAACCTGGATTCGGCCAAGATGTCCCTCTTGGGCCCAACTTGAAACCTGGATTCGGCCAAGATGCCCCTGTTGGGCCCAACTTGAAACCTGCTTGAAACCTGGATTCGGCCAAGATGCCCCTCTTGGGCCCAACTTGAAACCTGGATTCGGCCAAGATGCCCCAACTTGAAACCCGGATTCGGCCAAGGTGCCCCTCTTGGGCCCAACTTGAAACCTGGATTCGGCCAAGATGCAAACCTGGATTCGGCCAAGATGCCCTTCTTGGGCCCAACTTGAAACCTGGATTGGGCCAAGATGCCCCTCTTGGGCCCAAATTGCAACCCGGATTCGGCCAAGGTTCCCCTTTTGGGCCCAACTTGAAACCTGGATTCGGCCAAGATGCCCCTGTTGAGCCCAACTTGAAGGCCAAGATGCCCCCTCTTGGGCCCAACTTGAAACCTGGATTCGACCAAGATGCCCTTCTTGGGCCCGACTTGAAACCCGGCCAAGAATGCCCCTGTTGGGCCCAACTTGAAACCTGGGTTCGGCCAAGATGCCCCCTCTTGGGCCCAACTTGAAACCTGGATTCGCCCAAGATGCCCCTCTTGGGCCCAACTTGAACCTGGATTCGGCCAAGACGCCCCTCTTGGGCCCAACTTGAAACCTGGATTCGGCCAAGATGCCCCTTTTGGGCCCAAATTGAAACCCGGATTTGGCCAAGATTCCCCTGGATTCGCCCCTGTTGGGCCCAACTTGAAACCTGCTTGAAAACTGGATTCGGCCAAGATGCCCCTCTTGGGCCCGACTTGAAACCTGGATTCGGCCAAGATGCCCCTCTTAGGCCCAACTCGAAACCTGGATTCCGCCAAGATGCCCTTTTTGGGCCTAGATTCGGCCAACTTGAAACCTGGACTCGGCCAAGATGCCCTTCTTGGGCCCAACTTCAAACCTGGATTCGGCCAAGATGCCCCTTTTGGGCCCAAATTGAAACCCGGATTTGGCCAAGATTCCCCTGGATTCGCCCCTGTTGGGCCCAACTTGAAACCTGCTTGAAAACTGGATTCGGCCAAGATGCCCCTCTTGGGCCCGACTTGAAACCTGGATTCGGCCAAGATGCCCCTCTTAGGCCCAACTCGAAACCTGGATTCCGCCAAGATGCCCTTTTTGGGCCTAGATTCGGCCAACTTGAAACCTGGACTCGGCCAAGATGCCCTTCTTGGGCCCAACTTCAAACCTGGATTCGGCCAAGATGCCCCTTTTGGGCCCAAATTGAAACCCGGATTTGGCCAAGATTCCCCTGGATTCGCCCCTGTTGGGCCCAACTTGAAACCTGCTTGAAAACTGGATTCGGCCAAGATGCCCCTCTTGGGCCCGACTTGAAACCCGGATTCGGCCAAGATGCCCCTCTGAGGCCCAAATCGAAACTTGGATTCCGCCAAAATGCCCTTTTTGGGCCTAGATTCGGCCAACTTGAAACCTGGACTCGGCCAAGATGCCCTTCTTGGGCCCAACTTGAAACCTGGATTCGGCCAAGA